GGGGGGGGGGGCAGCTAGTGTACTAGCATGTAAGGCTTCAGTTTCATTGTACTAGGTACTCTGTTGTTAATGAAAATTTTGTCCCAACCTAATGACATTACTGTTCTACAAATAAATACTGTGCTTATGCTTTGTATAGTGCTTGTCTTTTGACTTGAACATTCCTGCAGTCATAAAATTATTTTTCCATTTAAGTATGTCATCTATAGTTGCTCAATATTCCTTAAAAATGTAATTAAACTAAGAACTTCTTTTCTAGTATTAATGTTATCAATGCAAAAGGAAATCACCTCATTTACATTTATTACTTTGTTTATATGTTTCTTGAATGTTTTGGCCCTCTCTACCTCAAAGGTTTGATTCATGTTAGCGTAGTTTGAGTTGACCAATGATGATTCCAGTCAAGCTGTATGATTATTTTGGTTAAATTTTCTCCTTTGGAAGTAAATAACAGAGGCCCAGTTCTCCAAACATGCATAAGATTTCATCCGTACAGAAATTAGGTTGCTAATGATTGGCAAGATGTTTATTTTAGGCCTTTCTATCTTAGGTTTTGTAGTGGTTCTGCCATCTCTGAAATAGCAGCTGTCTTAACTACAACAGAAGCAAATACTGATTACTAAGTTTCTGCTGCTTTGAAATACCAGGTGGAAGACAGAGGAAGTGCTCACGTTGAGGTTGGATTGCAGGCCAAATCTATGTGTACATCACTTGGGCTACAGCTTGAAACAGGTGTGAAATTGGCTGTATTTCTTTTAAGTAAGTTCTTTTTGTTATACTGCAGTGAGAATTAAAGATTGCCACACTACATTATGCAACATCTTTGTAGATTTAGAAATGGTGAGGCATAGTAAGGCACAGTGAAATAGAAGAAAGTGTCAGTGTCTGAGATACTTAGCTTTTGGGTGGTATAGTGTGCATTATGCAAACAACACTAGCTGGTCTGAATTTTCAATTTTTGGATGTTTCCTTATGCTTAACATGCTACACAGAGTGTCTGTCTTTAAGAAGATTTGAATATTAAAATATGTTGGCACTTTTCCTTTGCAACAATGTAATCCCTTGATAGTATTCTGGTGGCTGCCAGGAAGAGGAAACCATTTAGTTGCTGAATGTTTCCCAATTGTAAGAGTCCACAAGAGACATAGGACCAGTGGACTCATATTCTCCTCTTGCACATTTGTTAGAGATGTCATGCTGGACATCAGGCGCAGATACTCTTTGGCTGTACCCAGCCGCATGTGACACCCCAGAGACAATCAGCTTCTGACAGATTTGATTTGGAGTAAGGAATTGGTAAATGATACTCCCAACAAAAGTTTTCTGAACATCTATGTGTTATGAAAATGTGACACACCAATGCTTGGTAGTTGTAATGTTTTTCCTTTCATATTAACAGCCATTTCAAATCTAAATGAAGCAGGACTAGGTTTAACCAGCTTTAAGAGATTTCATTTGTGGGCTGAAATTGCCTTTTTGCAGTTCAGAAAGCCCAAAGTTACTTTGGTTTTGCTGAGTTAGCTCTATAGGGTTTCAACTGGAAATATTACTGTGCAACATACAATGCATTTTGTAAACAAGGAAGTGATTGTGGT